ATATCTCTACTCATTGAACAACCCTCCTCACTACTGTACAATAATGGTAATTTTGACCCCGGCTCATATATGACCCTTATATAATCATTACATAGCCCCTACATTTTTGGGTAGTTCCCTTTTCGCCTCCATATTTCCCCTGTGCCTTCAGCAGAAGCTGGCCATACCCACGGATGAGTCCAGGGCTGCCAGGGAAAGATTGCAACGCTACCTTGTCGGCTGGAAATGGGGTTTCCCAAAACCGGGGTACCATTTTCAGGGTCCCAATGATACGGATTATCGTACTTTGGGGTCTACATTGGGATCCACCATTTTTGGGAAACTACCAAGTGGGTCCCTTATTTTGGGCCCATTTGTGGGGGGTCCCTGTCTAGGGCGCAGCATGTTCTCTAAACACACACACATATACAACCTTATTTCTTAACAAACCCCACCCTCCCCCAAAATAACATGAAAGCCCAAGCAAGGGCCCTACAATAGCGACTGTCCTTTGACAATGGGACCATGTCAGATTCAATGATGTTTGTTTGGGGGAAGGCCCTATAACAATCATCTCTACAAACCCACGCAAAACCAGTTTCCAGTTAATGTTCCATAATTCTCTGGTTACTTCCACTCATTTCTATGGTTAAGCCTTTCGCGGCACCAGTCGTTCTAGTCGAACGGCCGCCGCCTCAGACGTAAAGGCCGGCGTAAAAACTTCATGTTCACTTTCTTTCCCAACGTGATTCTCTATTATTGGCGTAATGTCCCTGAACCCTACATATGTGCGGGCCACAGATAAAAAACCGAAAGCAACAACAAACTGTGAGCCATTTGGTTCTCCACTATGCCTTGAATAAGGTCCAATAAATTACTGCTTTCTGTTCCATTTGATTCTCCACTCTTGGAGTAACATCCATAAAACCAAAAAGCCCTATACATCCGCATGTAGTATCCTTACACATCCCTTAATCCCATCAGCCACAACCAACTTGAAACCCTAAGCCCTAAACCCTGAATCGAAAAACCCTGAAACCATCTGAAACCTAAACCCTTGTTGCAACAGGCTTTCTAAGTCCGCCCGGAAGTGTCCTGCCGTTCTCTGTTCTCTGAACCCTAAACCCTAAACCCGGAACCCTAAACGCCGAATCCTAAACCCCAAGCCTACTTGTAAGCCCCTGGCGCGATAGACCTCCATGGCTTCCTTCGTCCGCTGGCTGCGAAGGTACATCTGAGCCTCAGAGCTTGCCCGCAAGGGGTTTAGGGCTTTGAGGTTTAGGGGTTTAGGACTTAAGGGGTTTAGGGGTTTAGGCACGCGGTTTAGGGTTTAGGGGTTTAGGGTTTATGGATAGGTTTGGAGGTTGCAGGCCGCATTTTGAGCCAGAAAATGTAAGGTTGTATAGAATGCATGGTGGAAGAAATTGCATAAGAAACCTGTCCCAACAAACTAGAGTAACTAGAGATCACTTTTGGCGTGCTTATGTTGTGTAGGCAGTGCACATTCAGATGCACTTTATTTTGAACAGGACTCATCTACAGCCGCCATGGTTTTTTTGCGGACAGTTAGAATTGACTGTGCCAGTGCCTACTCGCTTGAGCTGTCATCAGCCAAAGCTTGTACCCTGGCTCATTTGACCTCTTGAGATACACCCATAACCATCAGCCCTTGCATAAACGTCCTCGGCCCCAAAAGTCTCCCCAGTAACCTGTGCAAACTCCATATGTCCCCACATAAGCCCTGAGCTACTGCAAGAGCAATCAGCTGAGGCTTGCTCTAAAGACTTTGCTGTGTCCTCATCTGCCAGACCCTCGGGATGGTAGAACGCCTGCTTAATTGCAGAAAACATCGCTTGCAGGATGAGTACTTTGAGCCTGGAGTTTAGGGCTAATGAGAGGGACCCTAAACAGCATCTTCCAGGTCTTGTGCTTGCTTGGGGAATTTCAAGGTGATGCGTTGCAGAAAAACGGATGATTCGAGGATTCATCATAGGGATCTACAGCTGCTGACGTGACATTGCTACGGGTCACGTGTTCATGCGTCCAAGATTAGAAAGGCTGTCTCAAACAAACCCGCACAGCAGCACACAAACGTGTCAAACCTCATCAGCTCCAACCATGTATACCAGACCTGCCCTGATGCACATACCTTCTTGAACAACCTACAGTCCTACCCAAATATACCCTTCTAGACTCCATATGTCTTTGCCAAGCAAGCGTCAGATGCTGAGCGCAAGCTCTCCGGGAATCCCAATTGCGGGGTCAGAGTGCTTGAATCTCAAAAAGCCTCTCAAAGGAAACGAATTCTGGCCAACCTGTTCAATCGAGTTCACACAGGCCCCGGTCCCTTAGATTCATCAATGTCCCCAGAAAGGATCGGCACTCAAGCAAACTCAGGCCGATTTGGACCTCGCCTACGGCTTGTACGTTCCTTCGATACCTCTCTATGCAGAACTCTCCTCCTGAAACTGACTTGCACCCGTTACGAGGACTTTACAGGAATCTCCAAGCCTCTTCAAACAGCTTCAATGCATCTTCCCGACGGTCCAGGACAAGATTTGCCTGTCATTCATGGTGGCACTTTGGGGTGACAATGGGGGCTGCAATCGCAGCCGACTGCCCCTTCTCTGCCCCAGAAACAGCCTCTCTGTACCAGACCCTCCATTCGCAGTGTCATCATACACTCTTTCTTGATTAGGCTTTTGAATTATTATGCACAAACACGTATTGCAGCAAATAATGGCCTGACTGCTTGTCGGATTTCATAGGGTTTGGGTTTGAGGGATTTGGGCGCGAGGGTCGAAGGCAGAGGTTCTCAGTGCTTGCTTCAGGAGGCCATGGTAGCTTCCAAAACATTACAAGCTCTCCAGGGATACTTCAAGCACCGGCTCCACCTTGAATGGCCTTTAAGCTAGAACATGGAAAAGGTACTACCAGTCTGCACTTGGCTACATGGATGCCGCTTGAGGACAATGCGCAGCAAGAAAATGCTCCGAGGCACTAAAGCTGATCAGGAAAGAGATGGAAAATGTAACTATGATCTGCATTCTACTCATCAATGATGGCTGAGAAGTTGCAAGAGGTGTGGCATGTCTCTGAAGTTGCACCATCAGCAAAAGGACCCACACAGTGGAGAAACCTCGATTCTACTTCTTGCATCCAGACATGCACGAAAGAGAGTTTTCTGATGCTGTGGGAGATGAGGGCACTCGCGGCTTTCTTTGGCTCATAGATGAGCTGGGCCAGTGGTGAAACTCAGTCTTGCGGTCTTTTGGTTGAACACCCTTTACGAAACGACTCTGCTACCACCAAACTTGTAGATATTCCTGCTAGTGATCCCGTTCAAATTACGATGAGTTCAATGGTTAGGCAGTTTGTGCAGCGCCTAATCCTGCTGCAAGTAGAATCTGGCGTTGCAAAACTTTACTGCTGTTTTGGCTATGTACACGTCGTTGGGGCCGATGGCGCTACGAGTATCTGCTGCAGAACATGATGCCAAGTCGTCTTACATGGGCAAGTTCATCAGCAAGTCCTTCATGAGTTCTGGGCGGCTGTCAAGCAAGCATAGAGTCGTTGGCGCAGTGCCGCGGATGCTCTTGAAATTCTGCTTCACAAAGTCAAAAGCCTGCTCTGTCACATCCTCCATGAAAAGGTCCTTGGCAGCAATCCACCAGGACACAGCGTTGTGCACGTTCAACGTTCGGCGAACATAAACGCAGCACTCGCGGCACAACCGGGTCAAGTGACACCGGTGAGCCAAGCGCAAGACGTCCAGTACATTGCTGTCAGTCAGATCAACCTCATCAGTGTATAGGTACTGTAGCACTGCAGAAAAAGCCTCCTTCGTGGTATCCTGGATTGGGATTGGGCCGTTTTGCTTGGCCTCAATGAATTCCGAGTTCAACATAGTGTAAAAGTACTCGGACCTGTGCAACTGGCAAATAACTGGCCAAGGAAGCTTAATGTCCCCCCTGCATATTGCATATTGAATGCACAATGATGTAATCTTACAGGTGGTACCAGGAGATAAGGGAATATAACCCCTATATAACCTATATCATATCTTCCCTTATCCCCTTCTAATTCTAAGCCCAGCACGGCTACGTTACAATTACAAGCGAGGACTGCCATAAGACCCAGGAATCTTGTCCTTTCCTCGCTAGTAAAGACTTGGTCAACCAAGCCGGCAGTCCGACAAAGAAGTCTCTACGTAACCTGTAGCTGCGGAACATCCCTTTTGGAATTTAGACTCTGCACCAGGATCAGCTGGGACTTTGCCACCCTTAACTCCTAAACCCACGCTTCCTGCCTTGCCATTATCAAGGCCCGGCATGCAGAGACAACCTCGCCATCAACTGCGAAGCTGATGTCGGACAGTGCGGGATCTGAAAGCATGCGCAACCTTAAGGCTAGGTTGCTGTTCGGGAACTTACAGTAAGCTACCCTAATATGGGTATGTAGGTAAATCATAGGGTTTCCTGACTAGAGTAACTTAATTTAAGTTTCTTAACAGCAACCCTACGGCTCAGTCCCTCAAGCGCATAGCCCAGAGGCCCCCCCACCCAAAAAAACAAGTTTTCGGCTGCTGAACTTTGCACAGATCAGCATCACCAAGTCATGGGGAGGCTCCTGATTAGTTTGGTACAAACTTCGCACAGTTAAGACTCCCTATATTCATCGGGATTCAACGTTACCCAGACTTCCGCTCCCTGATGTTTCCTGAAGGCATCTGAGCGACATATCCCGTCTGAAAGATGATGGCGGCTGCAGGAGCACTCCCACAGAGCCCACGTTGTTAGGCGGCTGCAAACCCGCGAACACCAAACGAATCCTGAGAAAGTCGTAGGGTGTGTAACAGTGTACTCTGTGGAAAGGCCATTGTCTAGGCCACTTTCCTATGTGCAAACTCGCTCACTAAACCGGCCACTAGGTAAAGCCAGCATCCATGCACAAAAAGACCCCACCGACAAAAAACTTATCCTATGAGATTGAGCAAATGTTCCTGAAATTGGAGTAGTCTAGCACGATAATCTTGCCCTCACCATCCACTGCCACGTCCGTGGGGGTATGGAATCTTGCAGTCTCTAATGCTCCGTCAGCGAAGCCCATATCTCCACCGACAATCGTGCTCACCTCGGCCGGTGGGGGCGAACTATTCATCCTTTTTGTGTGTGGCCAGCTTGTTCCAAGAAGCGGTGCACCATTGCTATACTCATAGAGCCCGTCTGCTGAACACTAAGCACGAACACCATGGTTCAGGAAACCTTCATCTGGTCCCCAATACACTCCGAGATAACCCCTTCGGACATCTGGCATGTTTGCCGTATAGTCTCTACATACCCCACAGTCGAAGAATCATAGCCCTAACACCCCACTGCTGGACCAGGGGGCTCTTTCTGGACCTTTTTGCAGGAAAGAGGCACCCCAATACTCCAAAGTATGGTCTCTCAGGAGAACGTTTATAATCCTCCAAAAGATTTCCAAAAAGAGTAATGCAAATGCCAACAAAGGACCAATACCATTTTGAGGTCTATTTGAGGTATCCTGTACCCTGATAATAAGAGGAATCTCCAACACAATATTGGCAATTCTTCCACTAACCCCTCTATGCCCAGTATCCATTTCATTATCCATTTGCTTGCCCATGTTCTTTTTCCTACTGTTTTCATTAATAATATGTGTGCTATTCATATCCCTAAGCCCTAACCCCTAAAAGGTAGCTCCCATTCTCTTTTCTCTTCTCCATGTATCCGTATCATCCCTATATAAACCCCGTGTAACCTGTACATAACCCTAGATCTCCCTATATAGCCCCGACAGTACCTTGATCCGAAGCGCCTGTCCGTCAGGCTGGATCTTGCGGATGCGGTGGTTTTCCTTGATAAGTGGGCAGTTTCCAAAATCAGGGTCCCATTTTGGTACCCCTAAATGTGGGGTGGTGTACTTGTATAATAGAACTCATAACCAAAAGGGGCCCATGATTTTGAGACTAGCCCATATGGGACCCCCAGGAAATTGACCCACAGGCTGGTTCTTGAACTTCCGATTGTATCGCGCTCATCGACAAGAAAGACTCTAAAGACATCTGTTTTTCCTTGAAGATCCCTTGAAGATCTTCTAGAAACTGTTTTGGAAGTTGATTCCTCGTCTTAATCGCGACTATGGCATCTTTCTCTGCCACGTTTTTCGTGCCGTCGGGCTTTGACAAATGGCTATGCTTACATGGATGTATGGACCTTGAACATCTGCCCAGCATGCCATAATCATCATGGGGGACTGTCCGCATGGGGCCCTGAAGTTCTGGAAGGTCCTGCCTAGCCCGCAGCCTCTGAAAACCACCCGCCTCTCTTCCTTATTAGCCACAGGTAAGTCGATTCCATTCGATTCTCCATTGAGCTGCTGTGTCTGCCACAATGACATTCCCATCGCCATCCACTGCCAGCCCCTCTGGGCAATGGAATCTGGCCTGACAGGATCGGCTTTTTTGGGGGCGGTTGGTAGGGTAAAGGCTTGATGCGGTTTCGGAGCACATGCCGAGATTAATTGCCCCCCCGAACGTAGCACGCTTGTAGATTTAAAGGGAATATTTGTCGTCAGGGGCTGCGGTTATTGAGGGAAGGGATTATGGGCAGCCCCTGAAGAGATTGATGGGATAACGTTGAGAAAGCCTTGGAAAAATTTCCGGGATCTCATGGCTCGAGCTGAGAAGGGCTCCTGCTGCATGCGTGGCAACATGAAAGAGGGAGCAATCTATGGTGTCATGATAAGGGTGGCTGATCGCTGGGAAGGTCTTTGCTTGTTTTTTGAGATGTACCCTGCTGCTCCTGTGATCCTGTAAGCCCTTTAGTAAGCCTCAAGCCCTGCGGAGTGCCCGCCTCGGTTCCGAGGCCATCAACATAGCCTTCGAGGCCATTGCCAGCAAGTGTTGTAACCTCCCCATCCGGACTGATCTTGCGTATGCTGTGATTATTCGTATCCGCAACCACAACATTTCCTTCCAGGTCAATGGCCACAGACTCCGGATCAGCGAATGTTGCGTTGGTTCCAAGACCGTCCTGAAACCCGGCCGTCCCAGAACCTGCTAAGGTACTCACCACACCTTGAGAAATCTTCCGTATCCGATGGTTACTGGTGTCTGCCACGATGATGTCACCATTCCTATCGATAGCCACGTCCTTGGGATCGTTAAAGCAAGCATCTTTGCACGGGCCATCGCTGAAACCGGGTTCACCACTTCCACTCAGCGTGAGGACGACGCGGTCCACCGCCCGGTTGATGAGCACTTTACGAACACAGTGGTTCGCAGCGTCTGCAATTATCAAATTTCCTTAGCTGACTGTAGGAGCCTTCGTAAAACTACGATAAAAGTAGGAAGCTCACAACATTGAAGCCCTGACTGTTTAACCTGACAATAAGAAGAATCCACCCCCAGATCTTACGGAAGGGGGGGTCGGAACAATAAACCAGGGGGGGGGGGGGCGGTGCAACTAGGTAGTGCAGCTCGCAGTACAAGCAACAGATATTCTAATAACATCGGGATATTTCTGGCGAAGAATATTATTCTTATCATTATCGCTGATGGACCCTGTTTATACCTTTTCGGCCTCCGAACTTGTTAGACCAGGCTGAAGCCAGCCAAGCTTCCATCCTGATCCAGTGCCACCCCCTCTGGGTCGTTGAATGTCTCCGGTCCCACCTTGCAGTAGAAGGGATTTACTATCATAAGGGTATATAGGGGGGTATATAGGGGGGTATGTAGGGATGTATATATATATATACATAGGGTTAAAAAGGGTTTGGGGTCAGAGTGACTTAATTACTATACCATGGATGGGCTTAGGCGCGCGCATCGCACTCAAGCAGGCACAATAAAGGATGGGTTTATGGGTTTGTGTGGCGGTTGGATCACGGTTGCTGTTTCATATTTGATTTGCCCTTGTAATTGATGCTCCATGGTGAAACATTTAACCCCAAACCCTGTGTAACTCCAAAACCTTCTTCTTCTCACAGCGACTCGGTTGAGTTCCCTAAACCTAAAACCCAAAAAAAACTAACGCGAGTGTTGAGATTCAAGCTCCTGCATGACCTTACTACACTATAGTACCCTAATTTCCAGGGTATGGGGTACTTGGGGTCATGCAGGAGCTTTGGTATCCACCCTACAAAACCCCTACATCTTCCCAGTTTCTATTTCAGTTTCCATGCTCCGTTCGATTTGATTCTGCATTCCTGGGCAAGATCCCTCTAAACCCTGAACCCTAAGCCCAAAACCCTAGACCCTCCATCCTAAACCCTAAACCCTAAACACTCGTAAGCCTATGTAAGCCCTAAACTTCCCTAAGCCCACTATTACTTAGCAGGACCCCGTACCCTGTAACAGTGGGGCAGAATAGGAATAGAATAGGACCCTAATATAAGCCTTATTATCCCTTATAGTCATCACTATTACAGGGTGGGGGTTCCACCTCAAGTATAAACCCTAAACCCTAAATAGTAGTTTCCTTTTTCTTCTCTGTTATCCCAATACACCCCTATATATATATCTATAAACCCTAAACCCTAAGCCCCTAAACCCTATACTTGGGATTTAGGGTTTAGGACCTGGCCTTGCCATGACTGCCCAGATCTCCATCCGACAGTCCTGGACTCCCACTTCCAACAAGTGTCGTCACCGTGCCGTCCAATGTAACCTTTGCTTACTGGGAGTTTAGGGTTTGGGGGATTTGAAGGTTTAGGGGTTGAGGGTTTTAGGGGTTTAGGGGTGTAGGAGGTTTTAGGGGTTTAGGGTTGAGGGTCCGTGCCATACAATGTAACCTTTGCTTACTGGGGAGCGAGACTAGGGCATAAGATGGAATAAGAAACATATACTATCTTCTAAACATCAGTGAGCTTGGGGTCTTGGAAGGAATCTCATGCGTAAAAACAGACTCCATGCCCATGATGTTAGGTCTAAAGGAAATGGTTTTGGGTAGAGGGAGGTCAAGGGGACTGGACACGAAGATAAGAACTACGAAATGATGTCGGGTATAGTTGGGCTTAGCAAGGAATAGAAGAATAAAACCCAAAAATACTCCCTATATAACCCCTTCTAATGGTCCTTATATCCTGTTCTTTTCCTTTTTTCTCGGCAATTGGAAAGCTTTGGTGTCTTCTTTTCTCTAGGATGCGGACTTTTCAGCAAAAACACCAAATGTACAGCCATCATGTACGATCATTGGAAACCCTCAGTTGTGGTTACATGAATTCTTGGCAACCATGAACCCTACATATCACGACATAACCCTCTATCTTTCCCAACAGTTATGCCCGCTTTCATTCCCTTTAAATGGATTGCAGTCACTCTGTGAACCGGAATGGAACGTGTAAGTACAAGTGGTGCCATGCGAGCCAGTGCTAAAACTAAAGAGCTGCAACAAATGCAGATGCTGCTTTGACAACTTGTTTTTGTTACATTTTGTTTTTTTCCGGATTCTTATTCTTGCCATTATTGTCATTTGAGAAAGCCGCGCCTTCCGAATTCGCAGGTTCCCCGTGTCTGCCACGATTACGTTGCCCTGATGGCTACAAGGGGAACGATCTGTTAGGCAGCGTGGGCTGATGCCATTGCTCTGCACACCGCAGGGGGTCACTGCTACACTATACTTGGATTGACCCTATAAACCATATAGTAGCCCCAGTTATCTCATCATTCACCTACTTACTAGGCCGCCTGGCCCTCCAAGTATTCCTTACAGATTGTAAACGCTCTGACATGCGATAACATGTTGCTTACACGGGGAGGCCTCATGGTCCACGGCGATGCCTTCAGGATTTGCAAAACACGCAGTCTTCCCAGGTCCATCAGCATAGCCGTAGCAGCCTGTACCGGCTAAAGTGATGACGGCGGGCTCCTGCTCCTCAGAATTCTTGTCCTGGATCTTCCAACAGCCTTTTCTGGGGCCTCTATCTGCAGATTTTGAGCGCGAAGTCATCTCTCCTTTGCCCAAGTCCAGCACCCCGGCCAATATTTGCCAAGCTAGCATCCATGGCTGCAAGGTCAGGTGATGAGATTGCCTGCGTGCACTTTGACTTTGATGACTTTGATGCCGTCATGGTTGCGAATGCTCTTGCACAAAGCTGTCTAAAGAGTTCCAGAAAGCTAGCTAGCCGGAGGGTTGCGTTTTGCGCGGGCAGATCACAAGATCCAGTCTCCGGCAGCCTTTCCACAACTGGATCCTTTCAGCACTAATAATAAGATCCACAACCCTGGCAACAACTTCGCTGTCCGCCCCATCATGTCATCCCATACACACAGCTTGTAACGTGCCTCAGCCAAGTCTCGTAGCAACTGTCTCTGAGGTGGCACAGAGCCCACTCGAGCCTTGGGCGCTGTCTTGGTGCGACAAAAATGCTTTCCTTGTACCATCATATGAGCAATAATCTAAACTCCTAGCATCCCCCTTAATATCCCCTATAGTAGACCCCAATATAATCCCCTATATATCCCCCCTCTAAGGAGTTTTTACTATGGTACATATACTTTGTACATTCTCATGCGGGCAAGAAGGAGCCGCTCCTTCAGCCCGCTCCCCCTACCTTTCTGGCAAACACCGACAGTTAACTCAAAGGAATTCACCTTGCAGTTGCTGAAAGCTGCTTCCTTGGCGTTTCTGAAAATGCGTGTTTGAATGACATTCCCGGAAACAACCAACCGCAGAACATGTAACTAACCTAAGAGTCCAGCCCCCGCAAGGGCCTCGGATAGCCAGTAGTGCTTTTCAGCCTCAGTGATATGGAGGTGCGTTGAAAACTCATGGTTCAGGCCCATGATTCTGCTGCGGGGTGTAGGGGGATCCTACACAGCCCACGCATGCAACCAATCCTGAAGACCATCTACTCCGAGCATGCAAAACCACAGAGCACACAGCCATCCGAAGCCACTTTCTTGGTTCAAGCCCTTTCAATTTTGAACCACGCTGCCGGTGTATCGGGGTCCGGGCTGAAAAGTTACTTTTGGAGCTTGCCTTTTTCCCGCTGCATGCACGTCCACGGTTTACTGTGGCTCGGGGCATGAAAGATAGGAAAAAATGATTCTTTCAACATCCCGCATGAAGGGCTTGGGTCCGTGGTCTGCAGCATCCAGCCTAACAACACCTCAAAAGAGGGTTCTAAGTTCTAAGCAGCCCATTCAGCCCGGAAACATTCCACTATCAGGGTCAAGCAAGGAAGGCAAAGTTCAAGCCGGTGCATGGCAACACCTTCATGAAAGTCATTAAAGCCCCACAGCATAAGCGAAAAGAAGCAAGAACAAAAACACAGCGATGCTGCCAAACAATCGCTCAAACCCCTTTCGATGACTGAAAAACCCAACACATAACATTCTAGAATGACGCTTCAAAAAACTTTGACAGCACAACTGTCATTATTACCAGTATTGTTATTGTTCTTCCTGCCACTATGATTATTGTTACTACTGTTATTGCTGTTGCTATTGCATGTTTTATGCTGCCGGGGCCAGGACAGGCGACCTGCTCATCTCCGCAACCTCCTGCAGAAGCGCGAGGCCTCGAGTGGATGGCTTCCCCAGGCTTGGGTAACTGTGTGTAGTATTGTTACTACTATTAGTATTATTATTCATATTCTTATTATTACCATTATTACAGAAGCTTGGGTAACTGTGGGTGATAGCAGCAGAAGATGGATGTACCTAATAGTAGTAACAATAAGAATAGTAACAATACTAGTAATCATGGTAATAGTAATAATAATAGTATTAATAATCAGTTTCACTGGACTTTGCGCAACTCGTCCCCTAAGAAGGTGAAGGAGTTGAGCATGTATGTTGTTTGGTGATGGTGCCTGGCGCCTTGAAAGGCTTGATTGAACGCGCACCGCATAGCAAAGCAGCGGGTGACATCGTCTCGATCGCAGTGCTTGGAAGTTGGAAAGGAGGCAACCCAACAGTGAACAGCTTTCGGGCTGTGCACGAAACATGGCAACCTCAGTTTGTGCTTCCCCCGCCCCCACCACGAATCCCACTCATCTTTTTACAGAAAGTAAACCTTGATTTTCCATTTCAATGGGTGCAGGCGGCCCGAAGTCACAAGTTTAAACCCTCAACCCCAGTGCAAATGGCTCAGCTCCGCGCAGCGCGGCCGATCAACTTGCATCAGTAGTCGGACCGTCTCCTGCGGCGTAATGCCAAGTGCAACTCACACATGCATTTGGCCGTGTACGCGCCACACATCATGTGTGGCAGACCGATTTTTGTATACTGTTAATGCCCTGCGTGGTCCTTGCAAAGAAAATAACCAGTGTGGAGCTCTGCATTTTGGGGGAGCTACTGTCTCCGAAGCCAATCGTTCAATGCCGTTCTCAGTGGGGTCGAAATAGGGCCCCCCTCACCCCACCTCTTGTGATACTACAGATTGGGTTGGGCGTCCACCTAGCAATACTCTTATCATTGGAATACATAGGCACCCTTCTATAAATACCATTGTAAATACCATTGCCCCTTGTGGTCACCACTGGCGGCTGGTGCTAACAGAATTGCCTCTCTGTAGAATACACCCCCCCAACCCCCTAATGATAAAGTATTCACCCAATACATTGGATTGTGCTCTTTTGGCAGTTTTTTCAACAAAGGGGGTGGGTTCACTATTACGGGAGGGGACTATGATAATTTCTCGAATAGGTAGAGCCCAGAATTGGCCCATAATACTGTACTCCTTATCGTGGCGTTCCCCAAAAAGTACCCCTAACTTTGGGAACCTTTCTTGCTGCTGAAAAAAAACTTTGGGAACCTAAACCCTGAACTTTGAATCCTGAACTCTAAACCTTATTGTTTGCATCTGGACTCCCGCAGGCTCTGCCCGACTGAAGTTCGCCCCATCATGCTGGCTGAAAGTGACCAAGCACCCTGAACCCTAAACCTACACACATCCCTATAACCCGTTATAAAATAAGCCCTATAGTGGCCCTCTATAGGCTCTATACAATCCCCTATGCAACCCCCTATAAAAGGCTTAGACTATAGCTCATATATCCCTATAACCACCTCATAAGGGTAAAACCTTAGACCCTAAACCCTGCGTAGTTCCTTAATCCTAATAACCCCTGTAGTAATGCGTTCGTATTATCCCTACAACCCCTTGTAGGGGTAGTTCCTTAAATCCAAATTCGTATACCCTAGACCCCTAAACCCTAAACCCTAGACCCCTATACCTTGAACTCCTAAACACTAGACTAGACCCCTAAACCTTAGACCCTTTTTTGGCTACCCTAAACCCTGGGGTAGTTCCTTAAACCTAAGACAAGATACTATAACCCCAAGAAATTCCCTAGTTGCCATTTCATTTTCCATGTTCTTTTCCATCTGATTCTCCTCCATTATTGGGTTAATATCCCTAAACCCTAAACCCTAAACCCACCCTAAACCCTAAACCCTAAGACATAGAGACCGGCTCCTGAGCCTTATCCGACTTCCCCTCCTGGCCATCAGCTCACTCAAAGGGTCTTTGACGGGATTTCAAGGGTTGCAAAAAAGGGCTAACCAAACCCAGGGTTTAGGGTTTTAGGGTTTTAGGGTGTTTAAGGGTTTAGGGTTTAGGACCCCAACCCCTACCCTAAAGGTTCCAAATAATGGAAGCTGCCCCCAAAAAAAAGGAACCCATAACTACACAAAGGAACCTAAAGGATTCTTGGAGGGCTCCATTTTGTTGGATCCTTTAGAGGGTTTGGGCAATGGAGAGCTCGAATGCAGGTTTTGCAACTCACCATCGAAATAAATTATGGCCAAAGTCTCAGCAACAACTCCAAGCCGCAAATAGGAGAGAATGATTACAACAAACGGGTGATGGTTGACCCGAAGAAACGACTGCGTGATCTTGCTGAAGAGGGATCCTACTTTAAGGCACTATGTACTCCAGTCCTGCGTGTCAATTGCATTATGGTAGCACGTCCAACGAAGTCCATTTCCCAATCTCCAAGAATCAACTCCACTGCAGCTGGACCCTGGAATGCACCTCAAAGTTGCTACCCCAACTCAATGCGCCACTCACAACCATCAAGTCAGCCTGAAAACGTGTCTATCTCTACGGAAACCCCAAGTTTCCACTTCATGTTACATCCGCTTTTCCGTTCGAAATGTACTTAATATCCCCAAGCAGTAAAACCTTTTTCATCCCCTCTAAGCCCCTCAAAGCTTACCTCAAAGGACCCAATGACCCTCAAGTTGTCGCAGCCTTGATGGAGAGCATATGTACACACACACACACACCTATGTAACCCCTGCATAATCCCGGAAACCAACCCTAAAACCTTTCGGTATCTAGCCTTAAGCCCTAAACCCCATCCCGGGCCCAAACCATAACCTCTATATCTCCCAATATCTGCCTATATATCATCATATATCCTAATGACATATACCCATTTTTCCCTAAAAACGCCCTGGATGTCGCAGCCTTGTTGGAGACTAAGGCCCGCAAGAGGAGCGTCAGGCTCTCGGTGTCACCCGGGCGCAGTGCCAAGGCAGCCTGGCTTTTGCAAGAGGAACAAAAGGAAAGGATATTGGGACATGTAGAGGTATAGGGATGTGCAGGGGTAGATGGATATGGACGTAAAGGGGGTTGAAGGTCCTTTTTGCCCTGAGACGCGTTTGGTTGAAACTCCACCGCTTCTGGAAGATGTGCGGGCTTGTGCTAAGCAAGCGGCTTCACCTCTAAGAGTGCAGCTCATAACAACAAAGACTGACAAGGACGGTCCTCGGCGTGCTTGATGACCAGAGGCCACTTGTGGGTATCTGAGTATCCTGTGCAGCAATCTATTTAGGAAAACACCAGTGGAACAAAGACAAGCAGCTGTTGCCATCTACAGCACAACAACTGAATGCGTTCAACCTGTAGCTCCATGTGCAAGGTCCTTGTGCAGCAAGCACGCTCAACGAGCGCCCGAGGTGAACGTCTGCATTAAGGCTCAAAGCCTGCCAGTGACTGTGGGTCACATGAAAACAACTCCACAGCAGGCTCCTCAAAAGCAAAAAAGCAAGCATGTTAAGTTGAAATGAGTTCACCTGCTCGAAAAATCCATCTGCACCCTGCCACAAAACTTTAACACACTGCTTAAGCCAGCCTTCAGTTGAGACGGGAATTTTTAGGAGACTCCAGACTCCAGACGTTGGCAGCCAGAAGGGGGCCTGAACTTCTGGAACAAATTCTGCAGTGGATGTTAGTATCAGGGAAGAAGCCATCTAAGGCAGTGATCTTAGTAGTGGCTGCTCAGATTCGTAAACCTGCATTCCAAATAAGAGATGTCCGTCTATATCCTGTACAGCTTTGTCCTGTGAGCCACAGGGAACGGAGTCCCCTGAAGACACCAACTCTTCGGAAATCTTAAACCCCATAGGACGGAAAAAACCCTACGTCATCCCTTTCTAGTATATTCAATGACTCCCTACTACCCCCCCCCCTTCCTCGCCTCCTGTACTGCGCGATAAGCCTCACGCTTCGCCCCAAGTGCCAGGCGCGCACGTGCCACGGCCACCCAAGCCTGTTGCCGGAATGAAACACATGGGTGGTTGCCAAAATCAACGGAGTATGGTAGTTTCCGAAAATAAGGGGACCCCAATAGAGACCCCAAAAATCCCCAAAATGCTATGATCCTCAGCATGGGGACCCCCGAAAGGGTACCCTTAATTTTGGGAAACCCCCATATACATTTGAAGGGCAGAGTCCGGTGCGATGCTTGCATACAAGAGGACTCCGTGTTATGCGGTAAGGGGCACCAGAATAGACCGTAAATGGCCACTACTGCCCCCTTCCCACAGGCACTTCTCGAAATGCAACATGCCATGAGCCAATACTTTCTCGTGGTTATTAGGGAGTAAGAGAACATATTACTAACCACTAGTAAGCACAGCCTGCCTCTGGCTTTCACACTGCCCTGTAGACTGCGCATTTATACGCCAATAAAGACTTTAGAATACAGCTACATGGATCCCTAAACCTGAGGGAACAACCTTGAAAGCGTGGAAAATCCCGATTTGAGAGTTTTGCCCACCTAGTCGTGCCTAAGAGGCCAGGAGTGAGAGTCCAGTACATAATATGAGCCATAGTCTCAACTCCTTTTAGGGGGATTACATAGGGGAGTCTTATGGAGGTTAGTTAGCAAGGCGGATACTAGGAGTTTAGACTATAGCTCATATGAAGCAAGCTTCGCATCCCTCTTCTTGAGTCCCATTAATCCCTATCAATCAGAGCGTGCTCCCACCATCCTCCTACAGTAAAAGTTAGAAAATCAGTTTCCCCTAGCCCCTAGAGTCTAGAAATAGCGGAAAATAGCAATATAATCCCGTTTCCATGTTCTGACCTCTCGAACGTTCCCCAATGGAAGTGCCTGCGGTTCCTTCGGAAAATTGCGCGCAAACTCCATGAGCTGGGGCATTGCCTGGTCAGCGGGGCTATCGTGGTTGCTACAGATTCTGGGTTGCTGTTGGGGATCTTAAGTTAAGCTACCATAGCATGGATTGATTGGCCTACATTCTTGTAACTTAATCCAAGTTCCGTAACTCAAGATGAGGAATGCCATGTTCGGCCCTATATTATGGAGGCCCGTGGCTAGTTGAGTAAGTTTAGAAGCACCACCAACAAAGCTATAACTAGTTGGTGATGTTGGCAAAGAACTCCAGGGCATCCAGCCCAGTTTTCGGTATTCGGTACATGTTCCAATTGCATACGGTGACCACTGCATCCATTCCCGGACCATAACAACGTTTCTGTTCCAAATGCATACGGCGACCAGTGCATTTATGCCAAAAAGCACAGCAACCTGCTTGTTCCGAGTGCATACGGCGACCAGTGCAACTAAGCCCAAACCATGACAACGTTCCTGTTCCAAGTGCATATGGTGACCAGTGCTTGTATGACCAAACCCTAATAACGTTCGTGCTCCAAGTCATCCATGCCAAAACTTTAAAAAAAAAAAGAGACCGATTTCCCGTCCTCTTCCTTGCTCATCTTGATTTGTTCCAAAGGCACACAGGAGCAGTCCTATCCCAACGATACATGTGTTCACTTGAAGACGTGTGCCTCAAGTGGGATGAGACAAGACTAATGGAATCAGTTCGCAAAACTCAAACAACTGAAGCATTTTGGGGGGCCCGGAGCACAAATTTCTCAATTCACAAGGGTCCTCTCAGATCTTGGAACCGGAGAAGTAGGAACACCTCCCAATCAATTACCTAAACCTAAACCCGAAACCGTTTACCCCTAAATGCAGCAACCTTCAGTCAAATAGGGAACTTTGGGACAATGCTTCCCTGACTCTCAAAGTTGCCAAGAAACTGTCGAGGCAAATAACTCCAGGAAGAATTACCCAATTTGGGTTCCACCATTAAACTCCCTAAAAATGCTGCAAAATCACTGCAAGGACCACCACCCTAGATGTATTCTGCGGATGCTTCTCGCCTGTTCCCACGCTTGCGGTCCCTGGCGCTCAGCTTGCTGGCAGAGACCTGGGACAGCCCGTTAACATGTTGATGCAGGAGGGTGGTAGGGGAAGAAGTAATAGCAGTGTTAGTGGCGGTGGCGGCAGCAGGAGTAGGAATAGAAGTTAGCGGAAGTAGAAGTAGGAGCACACGTAGTAGCAGTAGCTGTAGCAGTAGTGGTAGTAAGAGTATCAGTTGTAGCAAAAGTAGCAGTGGGAGCAGCAGCAGCAGCAGTGGTGGCAGTAGAAGCAGTAATACCAGTAGTAGTAGAAGGAGGAGTAGAAGTAGCAGTAGCCGCAGCAGCGGTAATGGTCTTCGTAGCAGCAACAGCAGCATTCTTAGCTACGCGTAGTACATGGCGAATCTCTCGTCTAGCCGAAGCACCTCTACACCTATTTCGGGATGACCCTTAGCCCAGTAGATTAGCATTCTTCTTTGCATGACCTTCCCAGTGAAGCCCTTTCTTAACCAGTGCAGCGACTTGACTTTTTCACTCTAGAGTTCGAATGCGTCGTCATCGTACTCGCTGTCCGTGTCACTATCCGACTCGGACTCAGAGCCAGAGCTTGTATCGCGCCCTCAGATGAGCTTGGATTGCAGAGGTATTAAGGGGGATACTAGGAGTTGAGACTGTAGCCCGGATGTTGTCTCTTGATTGTGAACCCTGGAGGTCTCTCCCCGGAATGGCACTTTACTATTGCATTGGGATGGAAATTGCTCAGGTCAATGAAGAGCTCACGCAAGTCCTGAAACGGGAGCCCAAAGTTGGAGGCAGGGTGGGACTACATTTACCCCAGGCTGATCCCTTCATCTTGTTTAAGGTCAGGCAGAGTCCAAGCACATGTTAGGAGATCAGATGCTCCAGCCAAAGATGATCGGTAACCAACAGAATTCTGCACTGCTCCAGAAGCAGTGCACTTGCTGTCGAGGAGGGGCCTAATGGGCTTCATGTTGGCAGGCAGCGATTAAGCGAACCTGCAAAATTCGCGGAATTGCAAAGATGCCTTTGCAGGGCCATCGTCTTGTATAGCAGGAATGTTGAATGAATCACACACCAAGAAGGGACACCCAATCTTGAGAAACCTTCGCGAAACATGAAGCGACAGATGCCGCCATGACGCATGCCATGTCGTTTTGGCGCTTGATTGCCTGCCGCTTCTGGTTCAAGTTCTTTGGATCAAGTAGAGGGCTTCTGGGGGATTTGTGAAGGTTTAGCATCTTTCGGTGTCTGAACGTTGTAATCTGAGACATGCAGCATATTCCTGGCGACCTAGTGGTGATGCAGACCGAGTGGTGATGCAGCTTCTGATCCTTGATTGCAACGTCTGTTTAGATCTAGGTCCAGGTCCGAGGTATCTGCTGCCGATTGGCAAGACATTGCAATGCTACAGTCCTAGGTACCTCTGTGCAAAATCCTTCACAGAACGATAACACCCTGAGTCCTGAGACCGGCATAGCCTTCACTTGGGGCCTTGTAGTTAAAGACTAATGATCCCTCTCATGCACCGTCCCGTGACACCCCTTTAAACTCAGAACCACGACCCAGCCTCACGTGTGAGCTCAGCTTCAAGCGTCCTTGTGCCACCAGGGCGGGGAGCAGAATCATCATGAAATGTATAGAAATTAATAGCAACAGCAGTGCAAGTAGTAGAAAATGTGAAAGATGGTATTCATGGAAGTACCTTGCTTCTTGTATAGTGACCATGAGAACGATAACCCCTTAGTCATCAAGAAAAGCATGTGGACTTGGACGTATGGCTGTGAATCAAAACCCCGTTTTGTCGCGCCCACCCTCCCCCTCAACCCCTGTTGCATACCCCTTTGTCGCAGCCTGTTGTTACTGTACATACCTGTGTTGCGAATGCTTGGCGCAGGTATGCCCTACAAAAGAACCTTGTCGCAAACGTGCGTGTCGCAAGCCAGGAGATTCGGTTACAAACCTATGTCGCGGAATGGCCGCCCAAGCCGGTCGGTTACAAACGCAGTGTTTTTGATTCACAGCCCCTGGCAAAACACAATAAGGTTAGATCAGGGAAATCATTGCAGTCCAAGACTAAGGACCAACAATTGCAGAGATCATAACAACAATCATAATAAGAAGAGAGAGTGTCGGCGTTGGAGGGATTAATGGGTCTGCCCCCCTTGCCTCGCTTGCCCCCGTTGCTCCACTTGCCTCACTTGAGTAGTGTTTTTTTGGTGGTTGAACCCATTAAGAAAATATTCCTTATATAAGATACTATACCCCAAAAGGAGGATATTATCTTACTCTGTGTTGGGTACCAGAATATCCCCAAATAAAATACTACTCACTTGCCCCACTTGCCTGTCCGGAACCGAGTGGAGCGAGTGGGGCAAGTGGGGCAGGAGTTCACTCTCTTTCCATGGAAACCGCAGAGGGGGAAATTAACCCGGCCCGTCCCACTCGCCCGACTCGCCCCATTCGTCCCACCCGCACCACTCGCGCAGTGTAAGAAGAATATCAGTAATATAATCATGAAAACAGTACAAAGAATAATAATAATACCAATTATAGTAAACACGCAAGGGAGCAGAACACGCAGTAGCATCTTGCAAAGGTCTGCTTTCAACAGCCCAAGGGTCCAAAAGTTGTGATACGGACCAGTGTAGTCTTCATCATTGGTGATGATGTTTGGCACCACCTGTGTGCTGAGCATGCGCATTGGGCTTGATCTGCCAGTGAACCTACGCCTATGCTTTGAGCCATCCACGGTGCAGAGTGTCAGGCCTTGAAAGGCGCTCGATCAGCAATGACCAGGTAGTGGAACGGCTTCCTAGCGTGTGTTTGCGCTCTGAGGGTCGGGTCTCGCAGTCCTGGCTCTGATCTCGAAAATGCACCGTCACAGCTTCAAGAGCCTGTCTCGCTTGTTCGCCGTCAAGGGGGAGGTCACCGTCTGGCCATAATAGATCTCCTTGTGGTGGGGCGCAGGCTCAGGGCAGCAGAGCTTAACCGGGCATGTGTCAGCAATTTCTTCAGGCCAAGCAGCATTCTTTAAGGCTGCGGACGACATCATGCCTGCAAGCAACTGGACACGTTGAACCGTAGAGCTGTTCCTCTCTCCAGCGACTCAAGGGAGTAGCTCTCCATCCTAAGGTTGCTTTCACTCTAGAACTTTGCACTTCCGCCTGCATGTCGCGTGACATTCTGCACCTCAATCGCCTCCTCAAGCCACAGGTTGCAAAAGACGGCAACCTTCCAGGACGAACACTTACTGGTGGTCAGCAGAGAATGGGAGAATGGATCCCTCATCCCTCTACGTGTTAGTAGTCCCTAACAGACGGACAAACTTAACCAAGGACGTGCAAGCCACAAAGTACCTGCACCGCTTAGGCTGAAACCTTATGGTGCGGGGTGCGTTTCCTTCAACTGCTCAAAGGGAAGCTTGAACAATATGATTGCAATTTAAGATAAACAGAGAAACAACAAGGGGCGAGCTTGAACCGGCTGAAACCCTGGACTCAGGAGCCCTGCTTAGCCTGCGTTTACTTATAGATCCTTACAGCCCACCTGGGTGCAGCTCATAGCAGACTGGTACAAGATCTGCTGCCACAAGTAGTAGTACCGACGGTATGGCTCTCCAAAGTCCTCAGCCCAGTGCTTGATTTCACGCGCAAGGTTTTGGACCACAGCAGTCCCACTGTCATCTACAAGGAGTTGATTGTGCTGGTGGCAGATTGAGCAAGTAGTTGCGTGCACTGGCGAGATGCAAACCTCAACCTGTGAAACTGCAGAGACATCCGGCCAAGAAGGGAGACCTCATGACTTGGCCGGAAGTTACCCAGTATCCTCGCGGCGCTCGCGTAGCTGAATCGGTCAGCCGGAAGACTTGCGACCACTTTTAAACAGATAGTGTCCCAGACCTGTGCTCCCTTTAGGATAAGATGGCTGCATGGCTGCATGCTGAGGCTGATGGCAGAAAACACACCAAAAGTCCAAGCATCGGTCAAGAATCGGCTGCTGCAGTCCGGGTGCATGCCGAGTAGGAGCTGCGCGGGAGGCAGAGGAATTCTGCCATCCTGCCAATTGGGCGTGCAAAAGCCTTCTCAACTGTTGCAAGACTTGTCGATGCAAATTCCATATAATTCCATTATAGCAGTACAACAGTTTCGGGCTGCCAAGGGGTACGGGTTTTGTTTGGGCTTCTTGGTCAGAACAGATACCTAATCCGTCTGATTCCGTCGTTGCTGACCCAGTATTTGCCCTTCCTACAGCAGGGTCGGTGCATGCCGCCAATAGGGCCGTTTCAGTTTTCCGCAAAATTTTTGACAATGCCCTTCCCAATGCGGCAAGGCAGTGCTGCCGCTCAGAATGCTATACTTGCAAGGAGGAGGACGTACTCAGTTACTCTTCGGGATTGTAGGATCCCGAATTAAATCACTACTCATGTAGGGCTGTCCAGTTGTTTTCGAAGATGAGCAATTCCGTTGTGGTATTACTTAAAAGCAGTTTTCATTCACACATGGCAGTTTGTGTTTGTAAAGTCTCATGCCGCTTTCCCATTTCACAATGACCGCAACATCTTTCCCATCTACCAACTTGCATTTTTGTGATATAGTGCTTCCTGTTTCCTTCGCAATAAAATATGTAATATGTATGTTAAGCATGTCAAGTTTCCTGTCTAGTATGATGGCTCGACCTTTCCAACAAAACACAAACATTTGTACAAAATGCACAAATAATTGTCATGTTCCTCTCCACTACCGCTTCTGTTCCTTTCCTTTCCCATGTCATACTTTCGAAGCCCTTCCCAAAAAACGGAGCATGACATGGACAATGTCATGCCGCAAGGCTTAACATGAGCTGCAGTCTCAACTCCCAGTATCCCTAGTAATGACAATTCCCTATAATACTCCCCTATATATCCCCCCTCTAAGGAGCTTAGACTGTAGCTTGCATGACCCTGGCCCTGGTGGCAAGTTCGTTGCGCGAACAAGGCCGACCGAAGCTATGAGCGGCCAGAGAAACAAAACTCTGTTTGTTCGATGCCCCGTCCTGCGAAACGTACGAAATGTAAATATTGGGATCCTTGGAGGGAGCCGTCATCTCGCTGAAGAAGTCCTGGACATCGCTGACCTTCAGCCGAGGGGTCTCACAAAACCACACTCTCAAGTTCTGGCCCGTAGCTTATGCACAGCGGCTTAATTATGACATTTCCATGCGTCAGGCGTTCAGAAAAGAAAGTCCCGGTTGGGTCGCGGCACATAGATGTGGATGAAGAGAATGTCGCTGCGCTTGTTTAAGACCTCCTTCCGCAAGAACCCTACGAGAAGATCGCGCTCCTCAAACTTGCCCGCAAAGGGCACGTTGATGCGCAGCATGCCTGCATTTACTCGAGTGCATCGCAGAATTTCCAGAAGCAGAATCGGAAGGCAAACCATACAGGGGCATGCGGAGCTTCATAGATACAAGGACTGCAACAAACCGCAGGATTGCTCGCATGCTACTTCCCGGAGCCTTGGTGGTCCGGCACAAGTGCCTTGAAGACGCCCTCGGTCTTGAGGCGCCGCAGCATGGACATGTAAGCCTCATTCTGCTCATCCTGCGTACCTTAGGACTGCAAGAGCGCCGTGTCGGAACCGTTCAGCATTGTCCGCCAGGGAGCGGGGGACGCACCAGATGGGATTGCTTCTAGAGACCTGGTTAAAGTCTCTTCTAGGGGGTCCCCCTGCAGTCACGGGTAAAAACTCACCCCTCACAAGTCCGGCTCACAAAGTTGTCAAGTCAAATGCCAGGTTGCAGAAGCCGTAATCCGCGCAGCTGCCTTTCTTCTCCACTTCCGCAGGTTGAGGAACGCTCCCTGTTGCAGCGGAGGTCATTGCCGTCGCGGTAGCCATCAGCACAAGCAGTGTCTCACTGTCTGACTGTGCCGACGTTTTTGAGGCAGCAGATGAGTACCACATGCTGCACTAGCTTTAAACGTACAAGCCCACTCGTTTTGTTAATGCAAGTCATTTGCGTGTAGCACTATCTTTGGCCCTAGAGCCAGAAGTCAGAAGACGGCATTCAAAATATGCAGCTCTCCGAAGTCAGCAACAGAAGCTTGAAGAAGGCTGTTTTGTACCGATCCCGAAAAAGGATGAACCAGGGAAACCTCCTCAAAAGGAAATTCCCATAGACTGCAAGGAGCTAGAAAAAGATGTGTGCAGTTTCTCTGGTCTGGTCTAGGCTTTAGCAGCCACGACCAAGTTGGAAAATAAGGGGTATAGACCCCAATATACTATAGTCCTTATTATTGGGACCCCCAAATTGGTACCCTTAATTTTGGGAAACCGGGCAATTGAGGCTGGAACGCTCGATTGAACGGATTGCGGAGGCATGTTCCTGCACAAGTGCATCTCCCCCCTTCAAGAGCTGCATGACGAGAAGCCCTTACTGGAACGAATTCGTTGAGGTCCTGAATCCTCACATTGAACTATGGTCTCCCTTAAGTGTAGATAGAATTTTGGGTAGAAGGGGATCTTCTTATGATAAACCCAATGCCATAGTGTACCTACTTAAGAGGGACGATACCCCTAAATGAAGCCATCCTTGGTTTTGGGAGCCCAAGCATGGCGTCCTGGCTGTGTCTGCTGTCCGGTGCCGCGTACGCCTGGACAAATTGTTTGCAACCCCATTCATGCAGGCCCAACGTCAGAAAACAACAGCCTCGCGAATTGGGCACCTTTTGGGGCTCCATGTTTGTTTGGTGGGGGAGGCTATGGATGCGAAATCGTACTTAGATGTACTTGAGGTCGGCCCGCTCATCAATTTGTTTTTTTGTTGCTGTAGGTAGGTGTTTGAGGGGTTGGAGGCATATTGTCAACTGCGGGAAGGGAGCTATGTTGCAAACACCACATGCGGATGTAAAGTCCGACCGACGTCCGCAACATAGCAAGAGTTCCTGTGGAATCAACTAATCGCAGAGATGGCTTCCCGCCAGTTTTGTTGACACGCGGAAGCTTCCGACACTTTGTGGAGCAATCTCTTTGCATGGGGGATACCTGTGGCCCTCGTTGAAGCTTTCCCTTAGAATCTGCCAATGGTACTATTATCAAAATTCGAAGATGATGTAGGGACAGGCATGTTACCCGAAGCCTGAGCCCAGCTCCTCTGTACACGCCCATGACCCCACAATATAAAAGTATAAAAAGCTAGGCCCATATACTATAGGCAGGGAGATCCCTGCTTGGATGCTGAGTACACCGTTGCAAGCATCAATGCACTACCCAGTTGCCACTGCAAATTAGGAACGGGGACATGGACAGGGAAGGAAAAATGTTGTTCTTGGACATGGCACAAGGGCTACACATATTTGATGGCGATATTGGTTGCGCTGGTGTTACAGGTTCACACAGCCACGACCTGGCAGACTGAACAGAAAAGCAGAAGCAAAGAATGTAGGCGCGCCTGATCTGCGCCTTGGCGTACAGCACTACAAGTTGACATCGAACACCCCCTCTGGGAACCATTGGAAAAAGCAGCTGATTTCAAACCTGCTGCGAGCTTCGTGTCACGCTTGCTTAGCACCCCACGCCCAGAGCTCACATCGTCCACTTCAACAACTTGATGGAGCCTGCCGCGCATGACCTCGCGCTGCATCATGTCATGGATTACACTGCGTGCGTCTGCGAATCACTTGGGGGTTCCCAAAAGTAGGGGTCCCCTTTTATGGGGGTCCCTATCATGGGGATTATGTATTGTGAGGTCCTTGTTTGGGTCCCCCTATTCAGGACACTACCATTTGTGGCATCCAGACATCTCTAATTACAAGTTCAGTGGGTTGACCATGCTGCACCGTTTGAGCGTGACCGGTGTATTCAGCAAAAAAGCGACGACTAATCCTTTCGTCTGCTACAGTTACAGCTCAAACAAGCAAAAAAAAAAAACGCTTTAAAGGCTGTATTGACAAATCTTTTTCAACCACAGCACTCCAGTTTGTGAACTCCTCCGGATCGAAACATGCCTCGCCGACCCTTTTTCATGACCAGTGGGGAAGAACAAGCATGGGAATCAAATATATAGGCATTATATAGGGATTACAGGTACTATATTTTAGGAGCTATAATATCTAGGTATGATATGGAGATTACATTCCCTTATTCATTCGTATGACTCTCTGGCCAGGGACTATGGGGCCTGTTGTTCAGGATGCACTGAGAGACATCCCCACTCACGCCTTCGACAGAGTCAATGACTGGCCTTTGGTTAGCGGGGAATGGAGAATTGGAAAAGAAAATGGAAACTACTACTGTACAATGGGTTCCACAGGGATTATTATACGATCTGCTTCTTCATTCCTAGCTAACCAAAGGCCAAATGAAGCTTGGCATGTGAAGCAGAGGTCTACTCGCACAAGACAGAAGCAGGTGTTCTGTCGCAATGTTGTTCGTCGAAGGGTTGCCCTTCACCTATGAAAGGTGGCCATTCTAGAACACTCAGGCATCTTGCGTAACAGGCACTAAAGACGGAGCCACAGTTCCTTACTTCAACCGGGGTTTGTCGCTTAGGGGTCTGCGCTGCAGCCTAGAAGGTTTATACTTTCCAAATACCTTGAGTCATCCTTATCAAATGTATCCCCAGAAAGGGGCCCCAAACCTCCATTTTGTTAATGGAACTTTTTAGGGGCCGAACTACGTATCTTGGTAGCCACAGTTTGACACCGTCTCACATGGCCTCCAAAGATGGTAGAGGGCAACGCCTTTTGGCATTGAGGTCAGCCAGGAAACATCCTTAAAAGTCCTGTCTCAGCACCCTTGGCCCACTTGAACTTCCGAAGCCCCAAAACCCTCAAAACCCTATCGACTATGTCAAATGAGAGGTAAGGATCTGACTAGCTCCACCATTTCCAGCTCTCGTGTGCCGAGAAGTTTAAGGAGGATGCGAGCTTAACAACTCTTCGGCCCTTCGAGTTTGCCCCTGTGTGGGCACGAGGTGGGTGGGTGCCAAAGTGTGGCCCATTGCGCATGGAGCCCCAAGACTCCTTCATCACATTAGGGGATTCCACTCATTGAGGAAGGGAGCCCAGCACGGCTCAATCAGAGGTCTATTGTCATAAAGGGGTATCGGGCCCTCTGAGTCTTTAGGCATTGTCAAAATAAACAGAGAGGCTCGTAGCTGTTCAGAGGGCTTGTAGAGGACTTCTGTTTTGGCACCCGCCCACCCAGGACTCAACGAGAATGCTGCGATGCCAAAGTGGACCAACCCCCACATTCATAAGTTGCAACGTTCCTAGTTACAGAGCAATGCTCAAACATGTTCAGAACTCCTGAGATTGAAAGATTCAGAGGTCCACTAGCCCAATGTGGCAACATCTCGCTACCTGGCACGGGCTCATTTGCAAGGCTACATGTGTAGCAATAATCCTGCGCGGGAAACTCCCGCCGAATTCTGAAACTTGAGACAGGCGTGTGCCGTCAACCGGGGCGCTTGTAAAGACATAATGTTCCCTTCAGACATACGGATCTGTATTGCGCTATGCAAGGCCGTAATCTTGGCACATACCCATCGTGGCATTGGCATTATTGCGGCATCGCTGCTTCGCCGCTCGAGAAAGCCGCAGAACAAAGATAGGTTTAAAGCCGCAGAACAAAGATAGGTTTATCCTCTGCTGAAATATGAGGCCTTGCGTGTCGGCCATCTTGAAAACGGGCATGGGTGCAATTCAAGGTTGCTGCGGAGGAGTCAGGCCACTCACGAATCTGAAGTCTCCTCTTTGCTGCACTGGCGACTGTCTGTCCAGGAGCCTGTCTGCATCAGATAGTGGAGGGTTTGGCCCTATAATCCCTAGAGTTTACATTTTCTTTTCCATTATCCCACTATCCCCCAGTATACTATGGTAGTTTCCATTTCTCTTCCATCATCTCAATATAGCCCCAAATATCCTTTTGAGTAGTCTAGTCTGGCTGCAGCACGGATGGCATGGATCAACTTTGCTTATGGGAAACCCTAAACCAAGGCTTCTTGGGAAAACCCTAAACCCTAAACCCCTGAACCCTAAACCCCTAAACCCTAAACCCCTAAACCCTAAACCCTAAACCCCTAAACCCCTAAACCCTAAACCCCTAAACCCCTAAACCAAAGCTTCTTGGGACTTAAGTGCCTGCTCCGGATGGCGGCACCTCCGAGCCTTCAGCGTCCTAAGCCACAACGTTCCCAAGCAACATGGTTATATGGGGGACTTTTTATGGGGATTATGTATGGGTTTAGGGTTTAGGGTTTAGGGGGATTATGTAGGGATATATGGTATATGGGGATTCATATTGAGATTATACTAGGGTTATATGGTATGTGGGGATTTGTTTTGAGACTATATAGGGTTTGTAAGGCCACTGCTCAGAGCCGTTGAGGCCACCACATCTGTGCTCTCCGCATGCTTGTCCAGCTTCACCTTACTGGTTTCATCTACAGTCTCTGGAAAGCCAAGGTCACCAAGCGGGAAGCCACCGGGTCCAGGACACTGGATTGGAAACAGCTGGGCATGCTAATGAAGAATACCATGGCTAATGACCATTTGAGCAATAGTCTAAACTCCTAGTATCC